TCTCTCTCTCTCTCTCTCTCTCTCTCTCTCTCTCTCTCTCTTTCTCTTTCTCTTTCTCTGCCTCTGCCATTCTCTTTTTCTTATTCTCACGCTGTCACTCACTCACACACTCATTGACTCACATAAACACCCGATAAGCAAACAAACACAAATCACAAACAACCAAACAGACACCAGCACACCGCATTCTTTCGCTGTCCTCACTTTAAATGTTCCTTTTGCCACCGAACGCGTTTCGTGCTCCGCGAACTCATCAGTCATGCGTTTGCCTCATGACCGGGTGAGTCATGAGTCCCGTCTTCCTTTTTAATTGTTGCTTTTCGTTTTGTGTTTTATTTTAATGAATTTGGTTGGTTGGTTGTGTGTTTTTTTGTTTTTGTTTAGCTTTTGTTTAGCTTCCTTGCCTTTCCTTTTTTTTTCTTACCTCTTCTCTCTACTCCTCTTTTCTTTTCTCGTCTGATTTCTCTTTTCCTTACATTTCTTCTGTCTCTCTCACTTTTTATTTTTTTTTGTATCGGCCTTTCCTCGTGATACCTCTCTTTTCCTCTCTTCTTTTATTCTGTCTCTACTATATCCTTTCTTCGTCTCTTTTTCCTTTTCCTCTCCCTCCTCCTTCCCCTTCTTCTTGCTCTTCCTCTTCCTTTCATTTACCCACTATCCCTCCCTCCATCCTTCCTTCTCTGCTTCCAGTCCTTCCTTCCCTCTTTCCTTCCTTCCCTCCCTCCCTCCATCCTTCCCTCCCTCCCTCCTTCCTTCCCTCCCTCCTTCCCTCCCTCCCTCCCTCCCTCCCTCCCTCCCTCCCTCCTTCCTTCCTTCCTTCCCTCCTTCCCTCCTTCCCTCCTTCCCTCCTTCCCTCCCTGTCTCTACATCCCATTCTCTCTCTCGCTGCCATCTGCCAGGTATAATATGCGGTATCATTGTTGTCTCTGCGGCAATGACTCTACTAATCTACAGGATTATGTTATGTAAATTCGTGTGGTATGGTAGCTTTTCATCCCTCAAGGTGTT